CCTCTTCAATGAGAACCCCAGAAAAACAACACAGCCGTTAGCTGTTAGCACTCAGAGCTCACAGCTCCTCATATCTGTTCAGAAACTAGACAAAAGTTAAACAAGTACAAACCACAGACTGTCTGTGTCATGGTGAATACAGTCGCTGCTTTATTTATGTCTGTATAGGCCGTTGTTGTGAGTGTGGACGGTCGGAGCATATACTGCGTTAGCTTAGCCAATCTCCATTTAGAAAACACGCATTTTAAAAGGTGTTTCGCCTGCTGTCTGTCTGCAGACTTGTCAAAGCATTAATTCATGGTTTTTACTAACCGGTATCAGTATGTTGTTACTTCATCATTTTGAAACGTGTGTTACAATTAAATCACGGTCAAATATGTCCATCTTGTTGTAGTTGTAGCCCCCTTGCCAGCGACGCTCTCTCTAGTTTAGCATACTCAGCCCGACTCAGCCTCGTTGTCTCTGGCCCTAGACCCACGATTTTATGAGGCCAGAAAAACTGTGAATTAGGACCCGCCGGCCGGTACTAGGCCAAGTGGAAACGCAACCAAAGACGGGCCGCTGACGTCACAGCCCTCTTAAACCGTGCTCCGCGCTGTAGTGGAAACGCGCCATTAGAGTGTCTGTCTTTACTTTCTTACTCATTTCTCTGCTTGTATGAAACCAGCAGCTGTATCCAATGGGATTCCTCCGTTTGATTCAAACAAGTCGTTCATGATACAGGTTCTTTGGGGTTCACCAGTGGGGTGTTTACTGACTCTCTGACGTAGAACAAAACGTGTTCCCTTTCCTTTAGAGGAAGCCACGTGTCTGTAAGTAAAGGGAACTTATTGTGATCAGAACACCATTGACTTTGAGAAGAGGGAACCAGAAGTGATCAAATGCTTCTGTTACTCCATGTGTTAGGACTCCTTCCTGCACCTCTCTGTGAAGCGAGGTTAAATGGAAAAGCCACTTGAGTCACCAGGATTGAGTCGATGTTTTGATATCACATCCCGTGGAAGATCTCCCTTGGTTTATTCCCACACTGTCCGATGACGGATAATCAAGCCAACAGTTGTTGGGAATCTTTTCTGAGACATTTATCTCTCGGACAGATGAAAGCTGTGGAGAATCCTAAAGCTTTGCCTGTCATCAGGATGTTCGAGTCCTGCAGGACAGATGTTGCTGACGGAGGCTCTGCAGCTGGCCGACCATCCACAGGATCTTGGCTTTTAGATTTAGCATCTTCTTCCAGAACCTCCCGCTTGTGTTCTTGGTTTGTGAACGCGGTAAAAACAGCTGCTGTCACTCATCGTCCGGGTTGTTCTGCTTCATCCTGCAGGGCATTGTGAAAGGATCAGCCATGAGCAAACACTGAATTCCTCTCTGCAGGAATGTCCGTGTGCCACATGTGTGTGTATACTATCTGTGTGTGTGTGTGTTCGTGTGTGTGTGTTGTGTGTGTGTGTGTGTGTGTGTGTGTGTGTGTGTGTGTGTGTGTGTGTGTGTGTGTGTGTGTGTGTGTGTGTGTGTGTGTGTGTGTGTGTGTGTGTGTGTGTGTGTACCTGGCTGCCATATGTCGCTCTGGATATGAAACGGGAGCGAGGAGGTTTTCTGAGGCCAGATCTGGAGGCAGTAATATATTTTCTAACGCTTTGAAAGGAGAGTAAAGGTTGCAGAAGCTTCTGGAAAGTGTAGTGCAATAGTGAGAGATAAGATGTAGTCCTGGAGAGGAGGAAGATGCTCAGGCAGCGTTAGCATGTTAGCTCTGAGATCAGGGACTCATACGGACTGAACCAGCTGAGGCTGATGTGGATGTGGAAGTGGGGATGATTCTTAGTTTTCTGCAGGAGTGTGAACAATGTTGAAACTTTCTAAAAAACATTCCAAAAAGTTTTGAAATTAAAATTTCAAAAAAGTTTCTGAAAAATGTTTTTTTTTAAATATCTGTTGTAATTTATTGTCTTTTATTGTGATTATAGAAATGTGTTTTTATGTGATTGTAGTTATTACATGTACAGCACTTTGGCCCGACCAAAAAATCGCTTTTAAATGTGCTTTATAAATAAACCTTGATTTGATTTTTGAGTTTTTGAGAAGTTTTGAGAAAAAATTCAGAAATTTGAGGGAAAAAAACTGAAAAAAAACGTTCTAACTTTTCTTTCTTAAATCTTTCAGAAAAATGTTGAAAAAACGTTCAGAAAAACTCTGTGAAGCGAGCGATCGAACCCCTTCCCTTTGGTCGGTACACGCCCATTTACCCAGAACTGCCCGTTTCACAGAGTGGAATATTCACTATGAATTGAATCCGTATTTGGTCTGATGCCTTGCTCAACGGTAGGTGAACTAGCACCTCTCTAAGTCCTGTTGGGACTTGAACCACCGACCCTCTGGATCCCTCCGTCCTCTCAGAGTCAGTGGAGTGTTTGTGGGAAACGGTTTGATCCCAGCGAGGCTCGGACCGTCGGCTCGGACCGTCGGCTCGGACCGTCGGCTCGGATGAAAAGAATTTGCGCTAGTCAGCGTTTTGCTTTGGACACTGTTGATGTAAGGGGGGGGCGGGGGGATTTGGGATTTGGGGGGGGGGGGGGGGGGGGGTAGATGTAGTTATTTATTAGCCGGAGGCTTTAAATGGGAAACCCGCCAAGACGGAGGGGGGGGGGGGTCGATGCCAACTGGAAATACCAGGGGGGGGGGGGGGCGCAGCAGACTGCCAACCCTACAGTCTGGAGGGAGAGAGTGAGAGTATCATGTGTGTGTGTGTGTGGTGTGTGTGTGTGTGTGTGTGTGTGTGTGTGTGTGTGTGTGTGTGTGTGTGTGTGTGTGTGTGTGTGGTGTTGTGTGTGTGTGTGTGGTGTGTGTGTGTGTGTGTGTGTGTGTGTGTGTGTGTGTGTGTGTGTGTGTGTGTGTTGTGTGTCTGAAGCACAGGAAGCACATTAATCAATAACTTCATCACACCGCCAAACCAGTAGAAATGATCTGCAGATTGATCCGTCGTGATGATGAATGGAAATCCAAGGTTCAAGGTTCTTTATTGTCAAACTAACATAGCTACAGAGTAATGATGTCGTTGAAAATCTTCGGTCACAGGCTTCTCCAACAATGCAACACAATAATACAGATAAGCAGACAATATTAAAACAATATTAAAATATACTATATTGAAAGTAATAATGATGATCTTGGTGTTTGAGAAACTTTGAAGGACTTTTCAGATATTTCACCATTTTGTGAGTTTTGAAATACGCCCTGAAGATGTCCTCCCCTCCGACAGCATGTGTAATAACACACTGATCTCAGATGACAGTGTTTCCTCTGCTGCTCGAGTTTCAGTGTTTCCAGGTGACCTCATGTTTCCACAGAGGAGGCGGGGGGGCAGTTTAAACATACTTTAGCAGATTTATGTCATCTCGTCACACTGAGCTCAGCTGCTTCACTGTGTGTGTGTGTGTGTGTGTGTGTATGTGTGTGTGTGTGGTGTGTGTGTGTGGGTGTGTGTGTGTGTGTATGTGTGTGTGTGGTGTGTGTGTGTGTGTGTGTGTGTGTGTGTGTCAGCAGTGTGTGTGTGTGTGTGTGTGTGTATGTGTGTGTGTGTGTGTGTGTGTGTGTGTGTGTGTCAGAGTGTGTGTGTGTGTGTGAGATTGTCTCTGCTTGTTCTTGTGTTGAAATGTGGGCCAGTCAGCTGTGTGTGTCTGAAGCCAAACACCATCGTTCACATTATAAAATCACATCAGAAAGATATAAAACAGAAACGAGGCGAAGTGTTCCCACAGATACTTAGACAGGAGTTACGTTTTATTAATCTCAAAAAAGTCTTCATTTGTTTGTAAATGTCCAACTCAATCTTTTAAATTCTTATACATGCCAAAGACATGGACTGTTTCTTTCTGACATTGCAATATAAAACGTTAAATATCTGGTGATACATTTCTGGATTAGCATTCCTACATGGATGTTCATTCCAGCGTCACACACCACCAGTTTCAGTTACTCAAACATTTGTGCCATCGCGTCCCAAACGTTATTAACGCTGAGTCCTGAGTGTCGACGTCTCAACGATGCAAACATACGAGACGTTTTCTGACATTGCAATAACATTCTTAATCAGAATTCCTCTTGAGTTAACGGCACACAGATCAGGAGAGTTCAACCAACGACTCTCACATTCAGTTTGTTCATTTGATAATGGAGAGATTCCTTAATAGTTGTTCAACTGTCTACAAACAACCTTTAAAGTCCTCTCAATGCTTCGAGATGGAAGTTGTTTCTTCTAAGGTTTTATTCTAAAATTGGTCTTGAACTTCCGTCTGAGCTGCGATAGAGAGGTCTTAAAGAGTCCTGAATGTCTCCTGTCTTCAGCTACCCTGATGGAGCTCCCGTCCTGAAATGCCTTCCCTTCACTCTTGGAGGTTTGTTAGCGGAGGTGTTTAGTTTGTTGCCCGCGAGCTGCCGGCCTCTGGGATAATAAAGCTGAGAGTAAACACTCGACGTCGCTTCCTGTCGCTTTGTTTGCTCCACATTTAGCTCAGGGTGTGACCTCTCCTCACCTCCATACATCTGTGTTTCAGGAGATAAGGCCTCCAAGGTGTGTGTGGATGTGTGTGGTGTGTGTGTGTGTGTGTGTGGTGTGGTGTGTGTGTGTGTGTGTGTGTGTGGTAGTGTGTGTGTGTGTGTGTGTGTGTGTGTGTGGGTGTGTGTGTGTGTGTGTGTGGTGTGTGTGTGTGTGTGTGTGTGTGGGTGTGTGTCGTGTGTTGTTACACGTTGTCTTTTTGTCGAGTTTTGACAGCCATACAGACACATTTTCACGAATATTAAGATATAATATAAGATGCACAATTCAGTCTCTGCACAAAACAAAGATAACAACATAATGATACATTTGTTATAACATTTTTGAAAAAAGTTTCAGAAAATTTCGAACAAAAATTCAGAAAATGTTGAAGAAAAAATCTGGAAATCTGACCAAAAAAATCTGAAAATTTGACAACAAGTTTGACGTCCATAAATGTGTGTTGCAGGTGACGCAGGCCTCCAAGGTGTGGGGGGAGGTCCCTCTGCCCGAGGACCTGGAGGGGGCGGCGACTCTGAAGGTTTCCCACAGCCTGATGGACGACGACGAGGACTTCGCCGCAGATGAGGCGTCAGGAGGTGAAGGAGCTCAGCAGCTTCAGTGTAGAAATGGAAATGAAATTCTTCTGACCTGAGCTCCTCCAACAATGCAACATATATAATACAATCCCAAATTAAAAGTAGTGCCAGAAGTCTTAAACAGAAATACTCATCAAGCAGGATTCAAGGTTCTCAGGAGGAGTTCAAGACTAAATGACCTAATATTGGAAACTCAACCAAGTCCTGTTTCCATTTGGTGCATCTGCAATATATAAACACGTGAACTGTGAGCAGCTGGAGAAACAGATGGAGATCGAGTCAGACACGCCTTTTCAATGTTTTAAATCAAACACAAATCCACATGTACAGCAGACACATGGATTAACCACAGTTCTAGAAATCCCTGCAGTGCATGAACAGAAAACAGTGATATATTCAACTCTTTCCCAACACAGGATTCACGCTCTTCAGGAGGAATTCAGAGCAGATTTAGTTTTCTTCTTGTTGCATAACTGAACCCAACATGTGGTTTGTTTTTCCCCAACTTGCATTTCCCATGAAAACTATAAATATTTCTTGTGTTTCCTCCCCAGATCTCCCCAGTGGAGAGGATGACGGCAGCACCCCGTGGCCCCCCGTCTCCGAGAGCACAAGTAAGGGATCAGGAAATCTGAAATGCTGATTTTGTTGATGTGTTGAAGATCATTAAGTCCCATATTATAGCATATGTGTGTGTTTGTTTTTATCACTATGTGGGGACATCAGAATAGGTCCACACACACGAAATGAGGACCTCTTTCAGTGTGTGTGTGTGTGTTTGTTTTTATCACTCTTTGGGGACATCAGAATGGTTACACACACACAACATGAGGACCTCTCTCATTTTTGGTGTGTGTGTGTGTGTGTGTGTGTGTGTGTGTGTGTGTGTGTGTGTGTGTGTGGTGTGTGGGTGTGTGTGTGTGTGTGTGTGTGTGTGTGTGTGTGTGTGTGGTGTGTGTGTGTGTGTGTGGGTGTGTTGTGGTGTGTGTGTGTGTGTGTGTGTGGTGTGTGATCACATCTCACAGAGACAGGGGGGATTTATTTAAATATCATATTCAACTTTAAACGACATCTATAACTCCGTCCATTTCTCTTCGTTTACCGTCTCTGGATTATTTTTTGACACAACACACCCAGGCTTTATATGAACATGTGAGCACGCTCTGTATCATAGCAACCCTTAAGAGGCCAAAGAGACGCTAAACAGACCAGAAACAGGTTTAAATAGAGACGGTGATACAATCCAAACACAAACTAATCTGCAGCCAAAATGTATTTCTCTGTTTGAGCAGATTTAGTTATTATTACACCTTTAATTCCCCTGCAGGGTCACATGCTGCTCTCCTGACGCTCAGCTCACTTTCTTATTAAAGATTCCTCTATATTAGCTCCTGCTGTGTGTGTGTGTGTGTGTGTGAGATCATGTTTGTATAGGCGGTGACATCACAGCGTCAACGACACAGAAATAACCCTCGAGGAGCTTTTAGCACACTTCATAATAACGTCTGCAGCGTCAGCGAAGAAGTATTCAGTTGAGATCCACAGAGATGAAGTCATCACGGCACGGATAGGAACGCTTTGTAATAAACAGCCGAGCAGATGAAAGCTTTACTTATTCTGCATCAAAGCTGAGGTGGTTTATAGGTGTGTGTCTGACGGAGCGTCCACACAGCAGCGTTAAAACATCTTGGAGGTGGGCGTATCTGAAGCTTGGGAACGCGACCAACTGCCGTATGTCTCTCCCAGCATACATGCGGTTTGATTGGCTAGCGCTTGAACTGTCAGATTTGCATAAAACAGGATTTGATTGGCTGACGCTTCCACCGTCAGCTTCAAAAGTTGAACATTGCTCAACTTTTGAATCCTGAGATGCCTGGAAATCTCCGCTCTGCTTCCCACAATGCAATTCGGCGAAAAGTGAGGCAAAAGTGACGTCACCCCATTCAAAGTGAATGGGCAGAAGCGTTAGAAGATTTTTTTTAACGCTGCTGTGTGGACGGGCCGTAAGTGGGAACACAGGTAATAGGTGAGGGTTCAAGGATTCCAGGATTCAAGGATGCTAAGGATACAGGGGTTTTATTGTCATTGTACAAGAGTTAGCATAGTTTTGTAAATAAAAACCTGAAGTCTCCTCCAGCAATGAAACATACAATATACTTGAGTTTAGGGGCGGGTATCGTTCGGGTGTTATAGACGCTAATTACCAGTGCTGCTTATCGATGCTGGTATTTATGCCAAAAATAAAGTAATTGAATGAAAAGATGTGAAAAGATTCAATAACAGTTAGTGTTTTTTAATTGTTGTTGAAATAACTGTGTAGTCTTTCAGCCTCGAAGCAAAGAAACACCTTTAAAAACTAAGATTTTGGATCTGTGCTGTAATAGTTAAGAAATCCAACAGTTTTAGTCTTTAAACAAAGTGCATGTTGACGTATCTCTCCTTAGTGATTGCACCTCTTACTGGAGAACCCATTTAGTACCAGTTCTCCATCCCATCCGAACTCAAGAGATAAGATAAATACAGAAATGCCCGTTTCACAGAAATGCAGGAACACAAATCCACTTAGTGCTTTGTTTACATCACATGTCACTTGTTAGATGAGTGTTACTGAGCTCTTCTGTTTTAAACATTTAGAAACAACCTCCTTCATTACGTAATGCCGCTTTTGAGAAACACTCTCTAGAGATGTGAGTTCTCAAGCTTCACAGTGGAAATAATTACTTTCAATGTCACTAGATGGTTCAGTTATCGTACATCCGGGCACTTTCTGCATTATTTAGTGACATCGCTAAAATGGCAAAATTATCGTTGAAAGACCCAAAAATAATTTGTTAATCTGGCAATTCTTCCTGGAGGGTAATTATTTGAGGGTCCTTAAAACAAGGCTTTTCTACGTGCTGCTTATTTCTTCTGTTTCATACATTTGATTGAAAGGTTCTTCGTTAACGTTGCAACGTATTTAAACATAACCATCAATCCTGCCGCTGACACTGGCCGCCGCCGACGCTGCACATCGTCTTTGAGAAACACTTTCTAGAACTCTCCAACTTCATATCTAGGTGTATCAGAGGGAGGAGTCTGACCCCTGCAGACCCTCCCTCCTATCAGTGTCCAGGGTTTCCTTCAGTCTCCTCTGACTGTAACTGAACAGGATATGAATCAGATTTATTCTCCAGACGTCTCCTGCAGGATCTGCTCCTGATATGAAGGGGAGACGAGGAGGGGGGGGGGGGGGGATCACAGGCGCCGATAAGGGGAGATCAAAACTCAGGATATCTGAATCCTCTGCAGATGTGTTCCTGCTCCGCTGCACGCAGACAAAGAGGAATCCTCACATCAGCAGATAGCACGACAACAGGAAGGCAGGCATAAAGTGGCACCTACTTTAAAGTGAGAGGGGGGGGGGGCAGGACAGAGACCCTCAGATCAGGAAACAAACTCCCTTTCCTGTCCTGTAACACGAGCTCTATGTGGAAGCGCAATGCTAACGTCCTGAGGTGAGCCGAGGCGTCTGCAGATCCAGTGTTCACACTTTAAGGAACACGAGGTATGCAGGAAGTGCATATGTGAGACATTTAAAACAAGTTGTTTCTGATTCCTCCCACTGCTAACTGGGGAGGGGGAG